AAGAAACTTGTCCGCAAGAAATAGCACTCCAGCTCACTTCCACTATATATATATATATATTAGAGATGGATATACACACGTTATACGTGTATAAATGTATGCAGTTGAGGAATAAAAAACAAGAATGGTTAAAATCATGAAAATCTACATCAATTTTTTTGCTTAGGCAATTTAAAACATTTTTAGTATTCTTAAAAAATGTTTTTTATTAGTGAGAAAATTGGTTTTTTTTCCTTCTCAAGACAAACCGATTTTTGACTTCCCATTTATTTAGTCAAAGGCAGTTTTTTTGGTCCATGCTAAACGGGAAATTATTTGAAAAAAAATAAATCAACCAAGTTTGATATAGTATTTTTTTAGTATATTTTTTTGGGTCATTTTTTTAATAATTCTTGTGTTTATAATTTAAAAAAAAATTATAAATTAAAGTTGAAAAAATATACTATAGACAAAAATTTGTTTTTTTTTTTTTCTCTTCAAAAAAAAAAATAGTGATTTTTTTTATTTTTTATTTTTGTGTGTGTGTTTTTTTACAACGTTTCATAGCAATTATTATACACCTTAGATGTTGGTTCGCTAACAATGGAAATGTTTTTCATTTGAACCACCTTTTATTGGTTTTGGTTTTGGCTAGAGCGTGGTAGATGTTATCCAAAGATTGCAAAACAAGATACTTTTAAGATACTTTTATTGGTTTTGCTTTTTGATTTGTTCAAAAGAAGTTAAATTACTCAAGATACTTTTAAGATTATTATTATTTTTTCAATCAATAAGAGAAAATTACAATTTACAAATATCGAAATAGTTATGTTAAAATTAAACAATCAACTATTTAAAAATGTCCAACGATACATACTAAAGAAAAGCAGTGATTGACTCCCCTTTAATAAAATGTTACTCTTTTTTTTTTTTTTTTTTTTTTAAAAAAAAGAAAAGCAGTGATTGACTCCCCTTTAATAAAATGTTACTCTTTTTTTTTTTTTTGATAAAAAAGATTGATTCTTAATCTATTAGCTCACATAATATATAAGAGTAGCCAACTAAACTAGCCTAATTAAAGAGATTAATTAAATTCGTAAAGCAAGTATGCATATAAATGTGGTGTCCACTTCACTTACAAACAAAAATTTATATACAAAATATATAAATATTTTATATATATTGACACTAAGGTCTTATTCAGTTTTGGGTGGTCTTTGGACTATTCATTTAGTCTTATGGTTCTATGGATATACAACTACGCCAATCACTTCCGACTTTGCTCATTTTGATTATTAGTGCTAGTTTTGTAGAGTGTAAGGTTATGTAAATAGGTCTTTTATACAAAATTCTCATATAAAATGGTTTAGCTTTTTCATGGTCATTTATTTATTTTTTTTGTAAATTTGAAGAAAATAATATCATTCTTGTTAGGGTTTATTCTTGGCAATCTCGTTTGATAAAATTCTTTTTAGTTGTATTTCTTTTCGCATTTTTATTTCAGTGAGACTATGAATTTATTAGATGCGAATCTAACCCGAATTGTGCCGTTTAGAGAAGTTTGTAATGTTAATGCTTTCAAGATTGCCACTTCGCTGATTATGACGGGGGTCGAGCTGCCCGGTCAGCTCGCGACCAAAGCAAAATTGCATTCAAAATTGCATGTCTGCCCATGTTCGCTCGAGCCGAGGAATGCTCGCTCGAGCTAAGGCTTGCTCGCTCGAGCCAAGGAGTTCTCGCTCGAGCGACAGATTGCGTCCACACAAAAACCTGAAAGAGTTGATTGCTCGCTCGAGCCAAGGATTCGTCGCTTGAGCCAAGGCACTAGTAGAAATCACGAAATTTAAGCTCCTCACTCGAGCGAAAAAAGTTTCGTTCGAGCGAGCTTCAAAATCCAGATTTCTTAAAGAGTTGGTTTTCTTCCAAATCTACTTTTGGTTTTCTATAAATGCTTGGTTTTCTTCCAAAGCTAAGGGTAATTTCTCCAGATCTTCTTTTTGGATCTTAAGGTTTATATCTGGAGATATTTTGTTTGGTTTTCTTTGATGTTTTTATTGAGTATTCAACCCATGGTTTAAAAGAGAGTACATCAAAGGTTTTGTTTGTTATACAAAAGAGATAGTTGTTCTTCGGTGGATTCTGAAGAATTCGAGCCTGAAGTTTCGGTGGATTCTGGAGTAGCTCATTGAAAAGACAATTCCGAGGTGAAAACGAGGTTGGAAGAGGCACATAGAGATTGGTTCAATTAGGCGTGGATTCGCTAGGTAATTGAGAGTATACCTATGTAATTCTTTTAAATCTTCTTAGTGGATTGTTTTTGTGGCTGTTGCCCGTGGTTTTTTTATCACAATTGGAGGTGTCCAATTGTGATTTTTTCACGTAAAATCGTTGTGTCGATTTGTCTTGATTGTTTGATTGGAATTGTTTTATTGCTTAAAATTGATACATAATCACAAATCAATATTTAGAGGATTTTTAGATTTTTCAGAATGAGTTTGTTTATATAAAAATTATATTTGTATATTATTTTTGTTATTTGTGTAGTCAACAAGATGTTTGGCGGTATTTGTTTGGTGATGATTGTTTCAATTTATTTTTATTTTTATTTTTTTGGTGTTGCAATGCTTCTCTGATTTTCTCATTTTAGAGAAGTTTTTATTTCAGAGTTGTTTTTCTCACTACAAAAAAATTAAAGTTTTAGAGACTAAAATTTAAGAATAAAATTAATTTTTAGGGACTCAAAATTTTTGTTGCGAAAAATGTTATTATTATATTTTTAACAACGAAAATTAAACATTAGTGATGAATTATTATCTGTTTGGAACTAAATTTTTTTTCTAAAAAAATAAATCATTTTGAGATCAAATTATTTTGTCTCTAAAAATCTATTTATTAGTGACATTTTTAAAATTTTGTCGCTAAAATTTTTATTTTTTTACTTTTCACAACGATAGAACTTGGTCCCTAAATATCTTTTGTAACAAAATTTTTACTTTTAGAGACTAAAAAAACCTTATATATTGTAGTATCTTTTTATTTTTCGTTATTCTGTTTGAGATTCGCCTTATACTTTAAGACACTTTATTAAATATTTATTGTCGGATGTTTAATGTATTAAGTATTGAATTTCATGATAATGATAATAATAATAATAAAAATAAAAAATAAAAGTCACGAGCCTAAAAAGAAGAGAGGTTGCTTTTGCTTTGCAAAAATATTAATAAATAAAAACAAATAAAAGAAGACAAAGTTAAAAAGAAAAAGTATGCGTAACAAAAACATGGTTAGATTTTGGAGAACAAGGAGGACTCTCCTTATTAATGGAGGCACTTTAAAATTAGTGGAATCATGTCAGGTCTTGTTAGTGGACTTTCCATGAAGGTTATAATGGTCATTTTGGGTATATTAACACCAGAAATGAAAAAAAGTTTAGTAATACAGAGATGGTACTTTAATTAAATTTAGATACTCAAATTTTAACTGAGTAAAAATCGCAAATTTATAATTTGTAAAAGAATCCCATTAATAAATTTTGATTTAAATTAAATCAATAATGTTTTAAAATTTTAAGTTGAGAGTTCTAATGATGTGGAGAGTGTCCATGTGATATAAGGACCTACACTCTTCTCTCTATCTCCTTTTTTTTTTGAACCACAAAAAAAGAAAATTTTATTGATATTGATAAAAGGTACAAGATGTACTCCTCTTTCTATCTCTCTCTACTCTTTTTCTTTCATCTCATTATAGCTCTCATTAAAACTACTATTTTAAAATTATGTATCACTGCTCATTAAAAATATGTTTCAACCTTATGCATGATGCGCTTTTTTGGGCACAAAAATGATAAAATTATAGTAAAATTGAAAGAAAGATATTTACAGCACTTCCATAACCTGGAAATAACTCCCTGAGAAAACAAAACTCTATTAAATTAAATCAACAATTTTTAATCCCTTCAATAAGCAAATTAAAAGAAATCATTAACAGATACTCCTTTAATCCTTTATAGGTTTTGATCCAACATTCAATTTCCTAATAATAATGAATCACATTAGAAGACTCATGTCGTTTTTGAAACGGAAAAAAATATATATATTATTATATATATATCAATGTGATGGTTTCAATAGTAGACAATAAATCTTACAATGTAAATGTGACAGTTACAAAATTATCTTAAAATAAATGGTTATATTTGAATAGTTAGATTCATTACATTTTTTTTTTAATTCTTAATTTTTAATTTTTTATGGTTCATTGATAATACTAGATATTACCCGGAGCTTCTATTAACACAACAAAAATATCTCCTTACATTTCTTATTTTTAATTATTTTTATTACACTTTTATCCTTATTTAAAATTAACAAAACATACACCAACTGTAAAAAAATTAAAAATGATATAATTTTTCATTACACCCATCCATCATTGCCATCTCCACTGACCCACCACCAATCCCCGGCTCTCCGCCCCACCCAATCCCCTTCCAACAACTCTAGATCTCTCACATAGGTGAGGTTGAGGAGATGGGGGACTAGTGGGAGAGTCGAGGTGTTGAGGGTTGCGGGGTTAGTAGAGGCAATAGTTGGTAGGGGTTACGAGGGTTGAGGGCTACAGGGTGCTGGTGGTGTGGTGGGAAAGGGTTGTTGGGTGGTAGTTGTGTGGTGAGCAAGGTTGCGATGGGTGGTTGTGGTGGTGGAGAGAGTTGGGGCTGATGGTCAAAGGTGCCTTAGTGGTGGGGAGTTTGGAGAGTTGTGGATGAGAAGTTAGAGATGAAAATATTTCGAAATTACGAAGAATACTAATGAGATAAAATGAAAATCTATAATTAAACAAAATGTGCAATTATTGAAGGAATATAGGGAGCGTTTTCTCTTCTTTTCTTTTTTCCTTCTTTCTTTTGTGATGTAAATAAAAGTTGCTCAATATCACCATTATATGAATTTTTACTCTTTCCGTCAACATTGCATCAGTAATACAATATCCAAATTCATAACATTATTGAAAATGAACTCATCTATATAAATAAAAAGATATTTATTACTGTCTTCATTTTTTTCAACACTTACCCTAGAAGAGACAGAGAAAAATTGGACAGAAAGCAAAGCACATGTGCTTCTAACAACTCTGTACCATACCTTAAAACCCTATTAACACCTCTCATCAACCTCTCCAATAACCCACAAACCAATTTTTTTTTTTAAAAAAAAGAACATGCATACAAATTTTTTTCTTTTTCTCATTTTTCTTCTTTTTTTTTTTATGTTATTTATTATGATCAAACCCATAATCAACCTATATCACTACTCAACGCAGACTCATTTTATTTTGTTTCTTCAATTCATTATAAAACTTCAATATAAACTCCTCAGCAGCTTGGTCCACGTGGCTATCCACCTCCACGTCACGTAACGGAAACGGCGAGTCCGTTATCCTCAGCTGCCTCACCGCGGGGCTCTTCCCGAACCCCGGCAGCGCTGGCGACGATAACTCGCTATAAATCATGTCCCTCACCGCCGGACTCTGCCAGAAACCTGGCACCGCAGCCGGAGACGCCGCCTCGCTGTTATTCAGCATCTCGAGCACCTTCTTCACCGCATTTACCGTCAAAACGTCGTCGTCCGTGGGCGGCGCGTGAGCACCACAAGCGAAGAAGTGGGAGCTGTGGTGGTGGTGTTTGTTGCGTTTGGTGAGGTGGAAAGGGAAGGCAGGGCTGTTACTACAGCTGAACTCGTAGTCGGCGGAGGCGAGGTGGTGGCGCGTGGTGGTGGCGGTGGAGGAGGAGGAGGAGGAGGAGTGGTGGTGGTGGAACATGAGGTTGTGGATTGCTTTGCCTGCGATCTTGCCACGTTTCATCATCATGTTGAGATCACCAAACAGCTTTCTCTTTGATATTCCTTTCCTTAACATGAAGTACATGACACGTACTATGTTCCAAAACTTCTTGGCTACCAAGGGTAGATTTGTGTGTTCCATGTTTAAGTTTTCTTGTTTTGTATGATGAGAGATCATGAGTTTAGAGAGAGAGAGAGAGAGAGAGAGAGAAGATAGGAGAAGATTTTGTGTTGGTGGTGGCGGTGAAGGAGGGTGGTATTTAAAGGCAGAGGAAGAGAGAGTGTTGGGTATAATAGTGATATGATTTAATTGATGGAAAAATTTACATTGCTATAGTAAAAATTATATGATAATATGATTGGATTAATAATAATGAAAAAGTGTCTACTTAATTTTATTTTATGATTTTTTTTATGGGTTCCTCGGTTAATGATAGTAAAATGTCAAAATATTTATAATTTTAATATATTTTCTTGCACATTTCACAAATATTTTTACACACTTTAAATCATTTTTTTTGACAATAACAAGAGCCCAAGTGTTGTTTTTATTTATTTATTTATTTTATTAACTGAGAATGACTAGTTAAAAACATCTATTCCTTAAATTCTTAGGGATTGTTTGATCCAATTTATACTGAAATTGTTTATAAATATATATATATATATATATTGGTAGTTTGAAAATTATGTGGTGATCTTGAGGCAAGGAAGGTTGCTCCTAAACCACCAAATAATCTTTCTTGTGCTAGATCATTTTTTGCAGTTTCTTAAATAAATTGAAAAAAAAATGATTATCTAAAAACTGGGTAGAGAGTGTTTTTCGATTCTATTTTCTAATTATCAACTTTTAATTTACAATAAATTGCACTAAACAAACCTGTAATAATAAGCTTTTTAGCTTATTTAAGCTATTTTTAACTCAAAAAATTGTAAACAAAAGTTTTATTAAACAGTTAGGCAAAGACTCTCTAAATAAAATTAAGAAGTATAAATCTTTGCCTAATAATCTTAAGGTTATGGGTTCAACTCTCAAGACAATCATTTTGTGCACTATGTCAAGAGTTAAGTGTGTACCAAATCTTTTTCCTTCCAAACACACATTAATGTATACGCTTTTTTTCTTTCTTTTTATTTTTTATTTTTTTAAAAATAGTCTCCATAAACAACATCAAACAAGACTAACATCATGTAAAATGATATTACCATTAACTTTAATGTTTAGTCCACATTGTACGTAGAAATGGAGCAAAAATGACCCTGGGTGCATGTAGCTTTGGAGCTATTTTAGTCAATAGTTTATAGGCTCAATTATTAATTATTATGTTAAAGAGTAGAGGGTTGTGCTCAAATCAAGTTTAAGCTCCAATATGCCTTTCTTCTTTCTACAGTCGCAATTATACTATACTATTGAGGGACTTAAACTTTTGCTTGCTTCCGCTTTAAGAAAAAAGAAAAGAAATCAAAAGTTGTTGTGATCTTTTTAATTTCTTGTTTTTTTCACTTCACTTCAAAATTCACGTGATTCAATTCTATTATATTATGTAAGTAAGCTAGATTATAATAAATTCATCAAAAATTTCTAATGCAAGCAAGTTAAATATGAAATTCACTAATCAAGTTAATACAAGCCCCAATGCTTCTTCTTTCTATTTATTTTGTTGTTTTGTGTTGAAGTTGAGTGTTTGGCATATTATGTTAATGAATTTAAGCTTTTCTACAACATAAAAGCAATTTCAATGTGGTACAAGAAACACCAAGAGGGCTTAAAGCTAAATGAACTAACTAGACAAAAATTTAGATTCGTAGAAAATACATATTTCCATTTAATCAGAGAAGAATTATTTAATTATGAGTTTTGTTAATGAGTCATAAAACATTAGTTAATAAAATCTAAAATAATTTTACATTTTTTAAACATAAATGTATTATCATTTCAAACCTCATAACCAATATGTTTAGGACAGGCATTAACAAAATCATTTAACCAACATCAATTCAAGCCTGAAGTGATTAAAGCGGTCACTTTAGACCCCCGATTTTAGAAGCCCCGGACTTCAAACTCTTGTCAAAGGCCAAATTACAATATATATATACACCTCATCTAATGTATCCAAAAAAATCTTCTTGTCTAGAGATCTAAAAGGAAACTCTCCTTGTTCAAACTCATTATCAAATGTCTCCAATTGTAAATATTGAAAATACATTTCTTGCAACAATATTAGGTGCAAAGAAATAGAATACAAAAAGGCACAAAAATCATATTGTGTGGCTAAGATTTTTAAAGATGGCTCACAGTACATTTTTGTATATATTTTTTTCTGTGATACGTTTCTATACATTTAGCATTTTTGTATTTCTTGTTCAAATGCCCATAACAAGCCTCTTATTGTTTAATGGCCCTAATTGTAAAGGCTAAAAAAAGCATTTCTAGTCTGAATATCTTCTTTTACAAAGGCCTAACTAAAATGATAAATAAATGAATAAATTCTTGACTAAAAACCCCTATAGTAAACGTTGTAAATAAACCCTCAAAATTTTATTTATACAAAAATATAGCAAAGAATTATACATAAAAATTCAATAAAAACATAAATATTATTAAAAAAATAAGAACGCCTATTAAAATTTAAGTTCGTTGAGAGTTGAGCCGGCCCTGGATTTTAGTTATGTTGCCTCCAGAGAAGATATTTAGTAGGCTAGTACAACTTGCCGACTCTTTTACTTTTGAACGCAGGACCATGAAGAAAGTTTGCTAATCAATTGAACCATACCCCCATTTACAAACATATTTGTATGTATTATTACATTTCAAAGTCAATGATTGCATACATTTAAATGAATCCAAGAAAGGTGGCAGAGACAGTGGGTGGCTGTTTCTTTCTTTTCTTTTCTTTTTTTGGTATTATTACAAATTAACTTTTTCTTTTTCTTCTAACATAAGTAAAATAAAAGGGTCTAATTTCAAATTTTTAACTTTTGGTTACACATGTTTCTTTGCAAACTATAGTTTTATGAATCTTCAATATGAGAGAGAACCTTTTCTCCCCTACCATGGCCAAAAGGTTTGGCTAGTAATAATAAGATCAATAATGATAGAGGGCCACAAAATTAGTGGCTCAAATGGCTTAAAACTGTCAAAACGAAAACGACATCGTTTTGGGAGCAAAACGACGTCGTTTTGGATGCAAAACGACGTCTCGTTTTGGATGCAAAACGACATCGTTTTGACAGTTTTAATCCATTTGAACCACTAATTTTGTGATCCTCAAACATTTTCCTAATAAGATATAAGGTTACTTGCTACACGTGTCTTTTGATGTGTCCATGTAGCATGAAACCCCCATACTCTTACTTTCAACCTAAGGAAGTCCATCTTATGGGGTTACCATAAAGGAAAGCGAAGGTTTCCATTTTTTATATTTTTCCTTGTTCAAACTATTCAAAGATGTCCCTTGGTTTTAATTGTAATTTTTATGACGCTTTATAATATTTTAAATATTTTGTTTAATCTTATCATAAAATAAATTTCAATAGGATTTACAATCTGGTATGCATTTTGTCTCATCCTCTTTTAGTTGGTTACATTTTGAGAGCTTTGTAGAATAAGCAAATCAAGTTCACAAAATAGAGTATTGTTAGAATACACACTAAGCAAAGTGATTAGGTAAAACAAAGAAAATGTTTTTTTTATTTACTTTAATTTAAGCAAAATACCTATTAATATTGGAGTTACTCCATTCCTCAATTAGATAGAGATCATGAAGCCATGAGAAGTGTTGAAAAAAACAATAGAAGAATTATATTTTATTGATAAATAATAAAAAAAAATGAGATACAAATAGATCAGACTGAGAAACAGATATTTTATTTTTTTTAAAGAGATCAAATCCACTGCAGTAGGAAGAATCTAGATATGTCATTAAACTATGATTTGTCCTTACAGGATACAACAATCTAACAAACACCAATACAGCCGTACTTGTCCTTTCAGATACAACAGTCTTATATGGTTCAAGCTAGGGTTGTTCATGGGTCGGACCGGTTCGAATTTCAAACATCCGCTACTCGAACCGACCACTTCGAATAGCAGAATCCATCATCCAATTCCATCTGACCAACTGCTCGAAACCAGCCACTTCAGGCCGGAGATTTAGCTTTCGAATTTCGGTCAAAACTATAACAGATCTCCTCTTCAAGAATAGACCTCCACCAAACAAATTTGAGTGAGATGAGGAAAAGAATGGTTTTAGGAAGAGAGAATCGAGAGTGAGAGAGAGAGAGATCAAAAATGGAAAGAGAGGAGATGAGGGCCACTGTTGAGAGAAGATGTAGAAACCACCACCTTAGATGATCAATGTTGAGAACGAGCCAGTCGGTGCAAGAGATCAGGAAGAGGTCTCATCAATCTAAGAGAAAGAGAGCACACGCAAAATCTTTATTAATGAGAAAGCAAAGAGACATATGAGAGAGAGAGAAAGAGAGAGTTAGATCAGTAATAGATATAGATCTCTGCAAAAGATAAAAGTCATAATGACTCATTGGGACTGTGAGAGAGCAAGTAGTTGAATTGATAATGTATAATCAAAGATAATATGTGCTCTTTTGACAGCTTATCATATGCTGCCAAGTATATTTGGAAAGTTTAAATAGAGAAGAAGATAAGTCTGTGAAGAAAAAATTGTATTTTGACTTCCAATCCTAAAACACCACGTATGCTTCACATTATAAATTCGCACAGTTCGGGTGTAGTGAATATTTTTTCATAGGAGACCGACCACCGACCGATATATTAAAAAATTTAGTCTTTTGAAACGGGTGACCGACCATATGACATTCAAAATCGACCGTGACTCACCGATTCGAGTCAGCCCGGTCGGTTTACTCGGATCTTACGGGTTTGTGAACCATCCTAGTTCAAGTTAATTCTGTATAAGATAGTGAAGTCAAAGTTCTATCAAGAAAAAATATTCTTCTTTGACTAATAATCTCTCAAGTGTAAAAAATAGTTAATCTAGAAAAGAATAAATGAGAAGAACAATTTATAGGCTACTAGGACCTTATAAATTACACCAAAAAATAATGACCATTAAACTAAAGAAAATTAAGAGTCCCAAAATCTCTAAATATTAATTCACTACCAAGTTCATGACCTTCCAATTAACCATTCAAAAAAAAAACAAAAGGCCAAAAAAAAAAAAAAAAAAGATTCATGAACAAGACAAAAGGTTACAAAAAAAAAAATA